GGGCGCGGGGGGGGGGGGGTGGGGGGGGCTGTGGGGGGGGGGGGGTCTGCGCAGGGACAGTTGGGGGCATGGAGCTGGGACAGGAGGCTGACATGCCCCCGGAGGGCATGATTGGAAGGTGCAGGGAGTCTGAGCACGCAGGCTGCATGATTGGGGTTTTGGGTCAAACTCAGGTGTGTGTTTCACGGAGCTAGCTCCAGGGGCACACGCCAGAAGGGGTCTGGAAGGTGCCTGGAAGGTGCCTGGAGGGGCGTGGAGGCCGGAAGCCCTAGGAGGAGGCTGTGGTGGGGAAGGTGGAATAGGACTGACTACAAAGGTGGAGGAACCCGGGGTGAGGGAAGGGTGTTGGATACTTGATTCCTGGGCTTCTGGCCCCAGTGCCTAAGGAGATAGGCTTGGGGGTACTCTGCCCCAAGCTGGGAGAAGTTCGCCCCCATAGGCAAACTGATGGTGGCCACAGCTTAAGAGGACTAAGGGACAGGTGGGGAGCTCAAATGGAAGACTGAGGGACAGTGGCATTTAAGGGTCATCAGGGTAGTATCCCCCCTAAAGAAACCCCCTGACAAGTCTCAACTCCAAAGAAGGTGTCACAACACACTTGGTCTCTGGGGAACCAGCCTAAGGGTTCCAGGACCTGCTTAGGGCCTCCCTAAGGCCCCCATACGCTGACCCTGTTCTCATCTAAAGGGTTCCCCTGCCCCTGGCCCACTACTGCTTGGAGGGAGACACCAGCAGCCTCTGCGAGGGAGCTAGAGAGATGGGGACAGCGAGGAGGATGTGTGTCAGCTGGCTGGGTCGGAGGCTGGACAAGGAGGGTCCCGGATTCCAGCTCACCCGGCTCTCTCCCCCCTGCAGGACCTGGGTCTCGAGGGGACTCTCCTCACTGACATCCTCTACAGGAATGTGGCTGTCCTCAACCTGGTGGACCCCATCTCCCACGACCTGCTTGTGAACCTGGCCCGGGACCTGCAGTGCCCCAAGAAGGTGAGGCTGGCAGGCATGGGCCCCTGGGTGGCCAGCGTGGTTGGCAGGGGCCAGAGGAACCCAGGGCAAGTGGCCAGGAGCCCAGGCCTTCATGTGGCTTGCCATGTGGCCTTTGGCAGGTCACCGTCTGTTTCTGACACCCGATGCCAGCTTCAGTGAAGTAGGCTGGCCAGAGGCTAGAATAAGTGTGGGTTGGGTGTCATGCATTGGGGAGACCTGTGTCTTGAGGGGCAGGCTCTGTGCACCTGGTGGGGGACCCAGGCAGGAAAGGTTGCTGAGAAAACATAGCAGAACTCTGCAAGACACGAGCTGACAAACCCACTGATGGAATGGGAGGCCCAGGCTCTGAGTTCCTGGCTGGAGAGAGCCCCCAAGGCTGGCGTCTCCACCCATGGGTCTCTATTCTGTATAGACACCCTTGGGGCCAGGTGCTCACTGCTTACCTCCCTCAGCCTCTCAGGCCACAACACGTCCCCTTCATGCTGAGTTTAGACCCGCCATCTGCAGCTCTGTCCCCACAGCTGCCCAGAACCCCACTCTGACGCCCCTTACAGGTGTCACCAGCATGGACGGTCCCAGCATGTGGCTATGGCTGTGGCTGACCGCCAGCCCCCGGCCCTTAGTTGCATGGAGTCCCCTGCATGAAACAAGGGTGCCCACCACAGCGCTGCCCGCTCTATAGGCAGCTGGCATGGAGGGGTCGGCTAGCGTGCAGCCGTCGCAGTGGCTCCCAGGTCTTGCTGTCACCGTGCGTGGGGTGAGCTCCTGGGGCGAGCACAGAGGGACAGCATGAAAGGACGTGCTCAGGGCCAGCTTTGGGAAATGCATGCCCTGTGGTCCACCCCGAGCTGGGCTTCTCTGAGCGCCCAGTTAGGACCGAGAGAGGCAGGTGGAGCTGCTGTTACAATTACCGCCCCTCCAGCCCTGTCAGCCCAGGCCCCGGCCCCAGGCCCCACAGGCGTAGTCTCGCTGGGGGAGGGAGAGGAAGAAGAACATGCTGACCTGGCTGTCCCCACTCCCGGGGCTGGCTTCAGTGGAGCAGGGCTCCCTCGAGGGGCCTGATGCAGCCTCCCCTGTGGCAAGTCCCCGGGGGGTGTTGAGGGTGGGCTGGCAGCCGGCTGATAGCCTGAGATGCTGGCCCTGGGCCTGAGGACGGGGAACAAGGGCCCATTGTCTGGGCTTCCTCCCGCCGGGCACTGCGGGCCTCGGACCAGCCTGTCCAGCTCCCAGCGGGCAGCCTCCCCTGGCTCTGTGCCAGGCCACGGCCAGGGTAGGGGCGGGAGGGGAAGGCTCTGGAGGCAGCGCAGTGGCCCACGATGTACGGTTATGCATGCACACACCCTCAGCTGCCCAGGTCTCCCTCCCCGAGGCCCGGAGCAGGAGGGAGGGTCTCGCCCCCTCCTGATGGTGCTGCTGCCCCAACCCAGGACCGTGAGCTGTGGAAGTCCTCCGACAAGATCTGCCGGCAGCTCATCTACCACCTCACCCCTCATTCCAAGCGGCAGCGAGGGTCCGGCCTGCCCCAGAGGGAGAGCCAGAGCTGGTAAGAGGAGCCCATCCATAAACCTCACCCCTCGGGGCCTTCCCATGGTGACACCCAGACTTCTCTCCAAGAGGCCGGGCCTGAAATCTACCGCGGGGGCTCTGGCTCTAATCTGTCCAGCCCAAGGTTGCAGGTGTTCCCCCAGCCATGCCGTCTCTCCCTACCTCCCGCTTCCTCCCTCCATCCCTGGCCACTCACAGGCCCTGGGACCCTGGCCCTGAGGGGACCTCAGCAGGCCACGTGGCCGTCGGCAGATCACTGTCTTGTGAGAGCCGAATCTTCTACACACTTTTTGAAGGAGGCAGATTCTGAGTAAATCCCCATTTGACAGAGAAGGAAACTGAGGCCAGGAGAAGCCAGATGGGTTGCTCAAGGCCACGCCCTACCCTCATCTTCCTGCAGCCCTTTAGGATTCTTTACTAATTGAGACCAGCAGTTGGCATAATGGCTATGTTGCTGGACTCCCATGTAGCCGACCACAGTTCGAGTCCCAGCCCCGGTGGCTTAAACTCATGCCTGGTGCGTGTGCGTGCGTGCCCAAGATCCCAAGAGGAGAATGGAGGAGAAGGGATTGTGGCGCGGCCATCCCCCCCTGGGGGGTGATTTCTTGCTTTCTGTCTCTGCCTCTGTCTGTCTTTCTGGAAGGCGCACACAAAATCCTCTCCAAAAAAATAAATAAATAAATAAATTAGTGCGATACCAGATGTACCAGGTGGGGGGTAGTGCTAAGCACAGAGTAAGCTTTTTTGTTCTTTTGTTTTTGTTTTTGTTTGTTTGTTTCTGCAGAGGATGTATGCTTGATGGAAACAGAGTTAGGGAGTGAGAAAGCATCCCCAGGAGAATGGTGCGGTCCTTTCTCCTCCATTCTCCTCTTGGGATTTTAGGCATGCACACATGTGTTCCTGGCGTGTTTTTCAAGCTGCTAAGTCCAAGACTCGACGTGTGTAGTCGACCACATGGGATCTAGCACCTGAACCTCCATGCCACCTGCTGACCTCCTCTGTAGGTTTCTATTGCGTCATTGGAAAAGTCATGACATGTTTTTGCATAGAACAACATGGAAAAATACAGCATGACTTTTCCGACGACCCAATGTTCACAGTAAGTTTGTAGACCCTTAGTGTGTGTATATTTCATCCTTACAATGACCATGTCCCCTTTTCTCACCAAAGGGGAAACTGAGGCTCAAAGAAGTTCCAAGCAGTCCCTGTGGCCACCCACATAGAAGGTGGCAGTCTGAGCCTTTGCCAGACTAGTGTCCGGGCTGCCCCCGTCGGGCCATTGTCTGTGGTCAGTGGGGGCCTGCCTGGTCCGGAACTCAGTCCCTCTCTGCCTCCAACCCTCTCGTAGCCTGAAGAGTAGCCTCCAGAAGACGCCGCAGGCCGGGGAGACTGTGGACCTGTCGGGCATCCCGCTGTCGGCGCGGGACGTGCAACACATCACACGCTACCTGGGCAGCCGTGGCGCCGGGCTGGCGGTGCTGGACCTGAGCTTCACGGGGCTGAGTGACGAGCTGCTACGTCTGCTGCTGCCTAGCCTGGGGACACTGCCCCGCCTCACCCAGCTCCTGCTCAACGGCAACCGGCTGACACGGGCCGCCGCCCGCGAGCTCACCGAGGCCGTCAAGGACACCAGCAAGTTCCCTGCGCTGGCCTGGGTGGACCTAGGCAACAACGTGGACGTGGCCTCCCTGCCCCAGCCCCTGCTGGTCGGCCTACGGCGACGGCTGAGTCAGCGCACTTCACTGCCTACCATCTACGAGGGGCTGGACCTCGAGCCTGGGGGCGGAGGGTCCGGGGCCACCACCGCTGCCTCCACGTGGGGATGCACAGCTGCCGGGCCTGGGCCTGAGCCTCAGGCCTGCTGTGCCAGGTGACCCGCCACCCACTGGACTCACTGCTCCTGGTGGACGCCTGGCGATGGAGGCCCGGGGGGGGGTCCCAGGTCCTCGGTCCTCAGCCTGGGGTTGAGGGGGCAGAAGAACGGGCTCATGGGACACGATGACCAGCCAGGCTGGAGTCCCGGCCTTCTCTGCAAGAGGGGTCCCCGGCACCCCCCAGGGCAGACCCCACAATAAAGGGCGATGATGCACACCCCGCCTCAGCCTTTCTGCATCGTGGACCTCAGCTGGCAATGGCCCACTGCTGGGGTGGGCGGAGGGGTCCACTCCAAAGAGCAACCGTGGTCACGTGGACCTTTCCCAGGAGCACCCGGGGCACAGCCTGGGAGACCAAGGAGTGGGGGTTACGGGCTCATCTCTGTGACCGGACAGTTAGAGGAGGCCTCCTTTGGCCAAACCCCTCACATCTGGGTGGGATTTGACTTCTTAAACAGGGGACCTGGGGAGGCCAGCAGGTGGCGTGGTGGTTAAGGTGCTGGACTTCCACGTGGCTGACTGTGGTTCAAGTCCTGGACTTGGCGGCTTGCTTTCGCACTTTCCCCTTTTCTCGTGTGCTCTTTCTCTCTGTCTTTGGTCAAAATAAAAATAAATAATAATAATAATAAATAATTTTGGGGGGATCTGGGGAAGAACAGATTGGGAACCCCACAGCAAGCTCAGCCCAGGCTGCCGACCTCCCCTGCAGGGCTCTGGGGCTTAGGGCAGGCTGACTGTTGGCGAGGACACAGCAGACTTGAGAGGGAGGACCCAGTGTCCACCCTCCACAGGGTACCACGCCAGCACCAGGCTCCCTGTACTTGGTCAGTGGGCAACTCTGCAGGGTTAGGAGACTCATCGGGCCAGAGACAAAGAGCTTGTGTGTTTCCTCCAGGCCCTGGGGGGTCCACTTGTGGGGGTCCCCTTGCAGGGGTGGCGGTGGGCGTAGCCAGCAGCAGGGAGATTGGCAGGAGACCGTCTCCCTCGCTCCCCAAGCACCGTGGGAGTGGGCTCCCCTCCAGAAGCCTAATGCGTGCTCACCCTCACCGCCCTACACAGGGAGCCGAAGTTGGAGATGTCCAGGGGAAACTGAGGCCCAGTGGCCTAAGAACCCTGAGCAGAACAGGAGCTAAGGCCTGGTGGCAGGGCGTCCCACTGGATGAGGGGAGACCCAGGGCAAGGGGACAGAAGCCTAGGAGGAGGCAGGGGTCTTGCTGGGCCAGGTACCCCGCCCACCAACTCTGGCCTTCCCCTGCAGCTCTGACCCACAGGGGAGCTGTGAGGGGCAGCTCCAACCCCGCCTGGAATGTGGATTCTGGGGAGGCCTGGGGGGTGGCCTGCCAGAGGCCTAATAGCTCTGGGACCAGAAGGGCCATGGCTGGGATGGCAGGACCAGGAGAGAGGCAAAGAGAAGAATTTCCCCTGGGGCCCCTTCGACGTCCTGCTGACTGGCTCCTGATCCACAGTCCATGGGAAGAATCTGCAAAAGGCATACAGGGCAGCCCCCTCTGGGCCCCAGGTCTTCCTTCTCTCCTCTGTGAAATAGGGCATACTAAGGACCAGCAGTTAGCCCAATGGCTACGTCGCTGGACTCCCATGTAGTCGGCTGCGGTTTGAGTCCCGGACCTGGTGGCTGAAACTCACACCAGGCGCGTGTGCGTGCGTGCCCAAGATCCCAAGAGGAGAATGGAGGAGAAGGGATTGCGGCGTGACCATCCTCCCTGGGGGGTGATTTCTCGCTTTCTGTCCCTCTGTCTCTCTGTCTCTCTCTGTCTGGCGAGCTCACGCGCCCTATAGCAAAAAAATAAATAAGAAAGAAATAGGACGTTGGCAGCAGAGTCCCTTCTCTTCCAGCTCTTAATGTTTCATCCTGGGTCCTGGCTTTTATCAGCCTTCCTAATTTTTTCTTTAGAATTATTTCATTAAATTAATTAATTAATTAATTTTCATTTGACCGGAGAGGGA